TCATAAATACTACTAAGAGGTTGAGATATTAAACTGGAGACAGCTGTGGTGATGGGAATATTTTGCAGAACATTTCAGTGACAAATATAGTGTTTCAGTTACATTATCTAAGTTCTTGTAGTATGTAACATCCAAATTCTTATTTCCTATGTTTTTAAAGTGACCTAAGATAGGCTTAAATTTATATGTTGTGTCATAGCTATGAAACGATTATTTTCTAAACCTTCTTCTGGCAAAAACACTCATCCTTTGTCCAAGAAACAGACAAAAAATTATCTATTATTATTATTGCATTATTTATTTTGTGTGTCAGTAACAAACTTTGTTACTGTAATACTGCATCATTAAATATGGAGATGGAAACTTCCCTTTTAAACACATTTAATCAAAGTGCTTACTTCTTAAAAGGGTTTTACCAAAAAGAAAGAAGAGATAGTTTAATCATATGAAACATTCCGACATTATTTAATGATTAGGAATCATCTAACAGATGTTCAAATAATTTCTGAATTTTAACTGGACAGGCAGAGTAGTCAAAAGTTTGAATTCTCCTTTCTTCCCCCAGATTTTTGTGTTAAAAGTCAGTATTTTGATTTTAATTTAACAAATCTGGAAAAAACAACATTCAGATCAAAATTCAGAGTTTGATCTCGGAATTCTAAAAAGAAAATCTGAACAACATAAAAACAAAAATCAGAAAATAAAACTCAGAATTCTGGCTTAGATCACACATTTCTGTGTTTAAACCCATACTTTAAAATGAGGGTCTGAATTTGTATGTCAAAAATCAGCATTTCTTAAATTCAACACCACTAAAATTTAAAGAACTGGAGTTTAATCTTAAATTCTGCATTAAAAACACACAAAAGTAAATAAAGATGATCAAGATTTTTGAGGTAAGAGTCAGAATTTTACAAAAAAATTAGAATTCAGAGATTTAATTTAAAATCTGATGTTTTGACTCTATGAAGATGGGCAGCCCAGGTCTTACTTGAAATAATATCAAAATGACATCACTTTTTGTGGCATATAGCTGATAATAACTTTATTTGAATTATTCATAAATTAAAATTTAAATGGAAATCACATGAAAACAAAGGCATTGATGATTTAAATGTTTTTATTTGTTTTTTGTTTTGTAACATCAGATAAAAAAAGATATATAACAAAGATGTCGGATCCAGTATTTCAGAAGGCCCAATAAAAACCAAAACAGGAAACATCTCCAGCTTGAAACTCTTTTCCTCAGTTTTCATGGAAACAGAAACAGACAAATATTAAACCCCTCAGATCTGCCGACTTCAGACCAAAGTTTCAGTGTTCAAGCTGTAACTGAATGGGAACTTCACGCGATACAACAGGAACATGAATGTCAGAAGATCAATTATTGGGCTGGCGTTGAATGTAGAAATGCTGAAACCAATTTGAGTTCTTGTGCTGAAATACCTTCTTCCTGTATTCCTGACAACATTTGTAAAAAGAGAGCAACAGTAAGTTTGTTTTTTCAAATGATGACACAACAAGCATGATTTTTTTCTTTTTCTTTTTTTTTAATTTTTTTTTACATAAAACACATCTATATTTTTATTGTAGTTCATTATTTGTTTTAAAGGATTACAACACGCGGCTTCCATGTTGATGGTTTTGCATAAATAGTTCTAAAATACATGAAAACTTTGGAAAAATTAAAGGACAACTGTAATATATGTTGTTTCTCTGATTCTGCCTTTCATAGGTTTGTGTTTGAGTAAAGTGAACTTTTTTGCTTAATGGTAACATTTTTAAGTCTGGGTTGTGATAAAAATAAATGTTCTCTTAATTCTTTCTGTCACAAAAACTGTGCCATTTAACTACATGATGAGTATTTTACTCTTTTACTATTTTAGAATAGTTCATTATGCTTTAACTATGTATTAACATTTAACAGCAAAAGCAGCCTTTGGTAAGTTTGTGTTTTCATGTTTTACCAAACTTTAGAGATTTGAATGAAGACATGCTATGGAATAACACACAATATGAGCACATTAATGAGTTGGGGTTTTTTTTGGTTTTGAGTGTGTGTGTGTGTGTGTGTGTGTGTGTGTGTGTGTGTGTGTGTGTGTGTGTGTGTGTGTGTGTGTTCAGATGCCTCACAGTTTAATGTAATTTTAAAAGAAAGAACGAGGATTCAGATGTTTTGAGCAAATTAAGTAATGGCCCATCTCACTCCTGTGTAGCCTGAAACGCTCATCCTTTATCTCTACGGTAACAGAAACAAACAGTGTACTTTGAAATTACCTCTCGGTCACGTTTCTGTGTAATGACATAGATGATCTCATGAGGTGTGACGGTCCAGGGTGATGACTAAGACTTTTCTGCACGTGAGGAATGATCTGATTTTTAATGGCAGAGCAGCAGGATAAAGATAAAATATCATCACAGCTGTCTGAAACTGTGAGTCAGAATCACTGCACAGACTTGTTTAATTGCCAACGTCAGGGTGGGTTTGCATGAGAGTGCAGACAGCCAGAAAATACTCTACTCTCTCTGTCTGTGTGTGTGACCTCTGAGGTCAGGTGAACAAGTGATAAAAACAGTGTGCAAAGATGTTGATTTCCAATGTTTCTTTACCTTGTATCTATTGTTTTAAAAGTTTTGGAAAATCTAGGTTTTTGTATTAAAAGCACATTTTCAGCCATGACATTTATTTCTTAAAGCTTTAATACATATAATAACTACAATAAAAAATGAAGACTTATTAAGTTATGATGGTATAATGTCAATAATAAACTCAAATGTTTAAAGTCAAAGTTCCCACAGACTGATTATCTCGGTTTCGATGAGTCACATCTTTGTGATAAATCTACAAACTCTCCCCTTAGTCCTCTCTTCACTCCTCTGACAAAGAGCACGGCCACAGGGTTTCTAGTTCCTCCTGAAACCTCAAACCTCTGCATTGATGAGGATCTGAGATGTAGTGCTCGCGGGGGAACAAAGACATTTTATTGGAGTCTATCCCTGCAGGGAGTTTTGGGTCTTCACACAGGGTGAGCAGTCCCTGTTGCTCCTTGTTGTGGTGGGATTACATGGTGAGGGTCCATCTGTCCCTCTGGAGCGAGTGTGGAGGTCAGACAGGCCTGGACTGATGAACCCTGCACCCCCATCACATTCCTCTGCAGCACAGTGAGGCTGAGGTGATCAGGTATCTCCAGGCAGCAAAGATGATCACTCATGGGATTTTTAGGCTTGATGCACACTGTCCCCTGAAATCTAGATGCTTTCTGCAACTGTCTTTTAAAAAATTTATTCATTCATATGTCAAGTATATAATTAGTTATTTAAAGTTAAAAATCATGTGCACAGCATTAACAAAGATAGAGAAAAACTGTGTGTTTACATGGAAAGTTAAATCAAGCTACTTTAAACCTTGATAAGGAGATTCAACTGGACTTCTGCGTTTGTCCTAATCTACAAGAATAATGCAACAATTGATTTGAAGACAAAAGCATGTCCCCACCATGATACTAGGTGACAAAATGCCCCCTTTTATTGGGCTGTTTCCCAGGTAAACCATTATGTCACATACCAAAACAATCAACAAACATGTTTGCAAAAGGCTAACTGGTTGTATGTTGGATGATTACCTTTGGTACGTACAATAGGATGGCTCCATGACATATTTACATCCCCTCTTTTTCAGTCCAGGATTCTGTACAACTTATCTCGTTTTCGCTGTTTAAAGCCAAGGTAAAAGTTCTGGAGCATGTGTGGAAAGCTTCAGCCAGTATAGGTTCAAATGATGTTTGTGTATGCAAGAAGAAAACCAATCCTGAACTGCATTTTCCTGATCCTTTGATTAAAATTACTCACATACATGTGTCTGTGGCCTCGTAGGTGAGCATAAATGTGTTTTTCTGTGGGATAAATCTTGTGCCAGAAACAGATTTTATGCTGAAATCTGTTCTCAACACAATTGGTTTATATTTAATCAATGTCCTCAAATAGTTGGTCAAAACTATCTAATTTCATCAGTTTTAAATGCCTTTTTTCAAATAGAAACTGACATCTTTCAAATGCCTAAAGGATGTATTCTCTGGAAAAAGTCTTGTTCATATTGGGAAAGGTTTTTACTTTCCAGTACAGCTGCACCTGTGGTTTTCCTGTGATGACTGTGACAGGAAATGTGTAGTTCATAAGATGAGTAAAAACCACAGCTGAAAGGCTACCCAGAAAATCACCACCTGTGAGACAGAGCTGTGTGATGACCGTTTTAAACATGCACGTCTCTTTTGGATTTTTTAAAAACTCAATCCAGGTGGGCTACATGTGTAAACACAAATCATGCCTGTAAGTGATGTGGTGATATAAACCTAAAAAAGTGGTCATTTACATAAAACTAGTGCTTCCTATCCTGTACAACATGTTGATTTAAAAAAAAGTCACTCAATCAACATATTTTACTGAAAATGGTGCAAAGACAACAAATTGATTGTGGACACTGAAAAAATATTTGTCGGATGAAAAATGTCGGCTAACTGAAATGAGAGATTCACCACTCTGTAAGAGACTGTATAAAAAAAATCATGAGTTTTAGAATAATTTTTTAAAAGTATTTTATCATCAACATCATCTGAAGAAATCCACGTACAAAAGAGACAAAGCACAAAACCAATACTGGATGGCTGTGATCTTTAGGCCCTAGGGTGATACTGCATTAAAAACATACATGACACTGCAGAAGAAACCACAGCCTGGGCCCAAAATCTATCTGAAATTATTGTGTGTGAGCACAGTTCTTTGCTGCAATCTCAAATGCAGGTTAAAACTGTATCTTAAAAAAGGAAACAAGGGAATACTCATCGAAGACAGACAGGTGACTACTCTGGTCCAGACCTGGTTAAAGTGGAATGGAGAAGGAAAACTTTCCTTTGGTTTGAACAATCGACAACCTGACTTTCTCTTTGGAGATCGTGGATGCCAAATCCCCTGATCTGACCCAGCAGAGGATATGGTACCGCCCAGCATGTTAACAGTGCACAGCTCAGGTGTGAGTGAGTAGGACAGTAGCATGGCTCTGTAGTAGAAGAGTAGAAGACTTTTGATTAACTTATACCCCATGCAAGGCAAGAATGGACAACAAGAGGTCTTCTGTTTTTCCAAATGTTTTACAGTGTTGTTCAAAGAAGAGGTGAACATTTCCCCTTCTCTGGTTTTTTAAAAATCATGTTATTGCCATCAATGTTAAAACAAACCTACTTTTAAATAGTTTACAAAGCATCAAAACCTACTTTAACCATCTTTTTGTTCAGCGTCTAAACCTTTTATTTAAATCAAGGCTATAGAAACAAATGTTGTCCATTTCAATACGACAGATAAGGTGTGTTTAAACGGTAAAATCTTTAGCCTGTGCAGCTTAAACACCTCCCTAATTTGCCTTCACTTTTGTTTTAAAGCCTCGTCACGACTTCCCATCTGTTTTATGACTTATTAGCAGAGAGCCATGAGCCTTTCAGGGCCAGAACACCCAGAACTGAGTGATTTGTTTAACTTTCTCTGATCAGAAGAGAGGGTCACATGCCGGCGATTCTTTGCTCAGCACACAAAGATGCACAGATTGAAACTGTAAGCATCTGCCACACGACTGGATCCAGCAGGTGTTTAACTACATCAGACAGAAAGCTCAAACATCTCATGGATCTCTGATCTTTCATTGTTCTTCATGTGTGTTTAATTTTTTCTCCCCCTGAACTCTGTCCAAAGCTGTCAGCTCGCCAAACTGGTGAGTCAAAATCCAGCTAGTCCAATTTTGGCCTCAATGTCTGGGATTTAAGATGAAGCTAAGCTTGGCTACCTCTAATGGATTAAATTGATCCCTTTTTTAAGTCATTTTCTTTCATTTCTTTTCTAATTGTCTACAGGTTGTACCAGAAGTCTGGGAAAAACAGGGAGGAGGCACCAGAATTTGGTTTTGATAATCTCTATGGTCTTTTAACTGAGCTTAACTGGTCCCCTAAGAACAATTACAGATGAACATCAACCAATATAAACTTCTGTCATAACATCCAACACGATTACAAATTATGAGTGAGCTCTTTCCCATGATTGCGAAATCAGACATGGTCAAAATCAGCCTGTTCTTTGGCTGACTCTGCCCGCCATGCTGGACATTCCCACAATCCTCAAGTGTGGCTCTTCCCTGAAGCTGTTGTGACCTGATCGAGCTGATAACCGAGGCAGGGGGTCGTGCTGTTGTCCTGATGTAGTGTGTTGTATGCTATTAGTACCTCCACAGGGGCAGCTGCTTCTGTCAGAGGGTTCAGATCCGCTGCCCGAGGCCCGGTGCGCACAGAGATACAAGCACTCAGTGTTTTTGAAGCAAATTTACGGGTCCTAATTGCACGCTCCAAATGAAGCCTCATAAATCAGACTGCAGGTAGAGTGAAACAGTGTCAGTCTGGCTGAATAATTTAGAGGACTGCAGTCTGAGTTACATCCGTAGATGACGAACGTTGGTGTAATGCTGAAGTTTGTTTATTTTTCTAAGCAGTACTGCATTATAATTTCATCATGTTATTGCATGTTGCCTCAGTGCTGACGGAAAAATAGGATCTGCTTTTTGTAAATTAGAAAGCTGTCTGCATACCAAGCTAAACTACAGATGAGAGCATCATGTGCCTCACTGCACGTACTCAAAATGTAATGCAGTCAGAGAATATATAGCACTTCTTTAACATTCCCATCAAAAATCAACCTGAATCATCAATAAGAAAAAAAAAAAAAAAACTCAGCGTAAAGTTGTAGTCCTAGAGGCGGGGTTTTTGAAAATTAGATTGTATTGTTAAACCTACCTTGGTGTTAAATCGTGTCTGTCCAAAACAGACTTTGTTCTACCTGGATGGCTTAACTTCCTGAAGCACTTCTAGATCAAGATCTGCAGAGCAAATCTCTAATGAGCTTTGCCGAATACCTCAAATGAAATTAAAATTTAAGGTTGTTTTTTAGATGTCACAAAAATACGTTTTTTTTTTTAAATAGAAAAACTTCACCTCACACTTGAGTCCCAATTACCAATGCAACATTTGATTGACTTGTTCCAGCACCGGTAGCACCAGCACCATCAGACTGAGACAGCATTGTTTGAGTTTGTATCTGATATCAGCTCTTACGGTGTCAGTTTTTAACTCAGGGATACTTAGTGTGACAGTAAGTTCAACTGAGTCCATCATGAACAAGACGTCTACTATGTTAGAAGTCCCCTGAAAGTTTCTTGGAACCATTTCCTCCTAATCTGTCTGTATTTAAGGAAATTATATTTGTATATCTTATCCTTTCTGATGTATTTCGCCCAGGGGGACAGCATGTGTTACAGAGTGAAAAATGTGTTGTTTCTAACGCTGGTCCCGTGTGTTGACTTTAAATGGAAGCAAAATGATTTGCTTCTACAGACAAAGCCAACTTTTCCCCATTTTTTTCTGCTGAGGACCAGTTAATATCCTGAAGGAGCGGTGCCACTTCATCAAACTGTGGTATTTCCTCTCCGGTTTGTCAAAGTCAAACGCCTGGCGTTTTTTGTTTTCTTTCAGCCTTGGCTTTTTCTTTTCTCTGTGAGAAGTGTTTACTTTGCTCCAAGTGCTAAATGAGAGATGTCAGTCCAGTACAGAGGAGCTTGAGCTGGAATCTTCTCAACCTTGCAATGTGAAGTATTTATGTTCAAATGTATCATTACTGCAGATAAGTAAAGTTTTTACATATCTGTACTTCAGTATTCATTTTTGGACAGCTTTTTTTCTTTCGATTTGGCCCTACTGTGCAAAGTGTTGAGTCATGCAGCACAAGTGTCATTGTTATTTTCCACCCTTATCACTTGTCAAACTTATGCCCGGCTCTAACTCTGAGTAAATAGCAAGTGAACTTGTGCCCACCTCTGCCTAACATGGTATGTTGTACTTTAAAAGAGGTGTGGTCGGGCTAAAAGGTGGCATGTTTGCAACCACAAGGAAGTAGAAAAGTGCCTGGGCAGACAGAAGACAAGTCTGGTCTTAAGTCTAAAGCTTGTGGTGCAGCATTTCCTGATATTTAGATGGTGCATTAGTGAAATGGTAAGGTGGATTTACAATCTGTGAGCATTCCCGTTGACATATGATGTCTTGTCAGGTGAGTGTGTCTTATAGTAATTGTGAAATGTCTTCTTTTTTTGTCTTTTTCCTTGAATAAGACTAAAGTCTCTGCTTGTTTTTGAGTTCTTGCAGAGCGGGCTGCCAGGAGTCGCCTGATGAAGACCTTTGTCCACTGCAGGACTTTGGTTTCAGGTCAGGCAGTGGACACATGCTGCCAGGAGCTGAATGGCACCCCACCCTCCTTCATGGACACAAGGTCAGGGGGCAGCTACATCAATACAGCCTCCTGACCTCACTTCTTGACCCCCGGAGCGCCTCATGTCTCCTCTGTCCCTCTGTGGCCACGAGACCGGGCAGATCTGCGTATGCGACAGGGGTCATTTACAGAGAGACAGATGAGCAGACAGACAGTGTGCAGACATCTTCCACAGTTTGCAGCTTTGCTTCTTCTCAGTGGCTGTGACCCTCAGCAGGGTTTGGCTCAGCTCAGGCTGATTCTGTCTTTGAAGCCTCGGGGGAGCGGGCTGTAAGTCAGGCTTTATTGCAGGGAAATGGATGGGTCAGGTACCTGCTGTGGCCTGTCGTTAGCCTAAAGACAGTCTTATCAGCTTAGACTCTATCTGAGCCCTCAGCTACTGGGGATTACATTTGCAGCCACTCCTGTCTGCCTCTGTGCCCTCACCGCAGCGAAACGTCCCCTGCTGTTGATGCAAAGAAGCATCCCTACAATGAACCCAAATGAAGCAAAGTGAGGGAGCTGCATGGGATTATCTAGTCCCATTCAGAAGTAGTTTGTAAGCTCTCAACATGACGTGCCCTCCCTGAAGTGTTTTTCACCCTGTTTTTTACAAGAAACAGATAAGTACAGAAAATGAGGCCTTCATTTGATGTTGTGTGAAAGTGGCTGAAACAGCACGCTAACTGCTTTCATTGTGTCCTTTGAAGATAAATTAAGAAAGAATCTGCAACACATATTGTTGGAGATCTGAGACAATATCACTCACACAATGAGTATTACAAAAGAGCATGGAGAAGTCCAACAAGCCTGCTGTGTCCTATCCGAATTCTTAGATGAAACAGAAAAATGATTTTGTGAAACCATGGATGAAGACAAAACATAGGAATGTAGAAAACAAAATTAAACTGTTAAGACAACAAAAACAGGGAAATATCTTCCAAGATGTCTGCAAGTATTGAGCTTTTATATTTTTAGAGTGCCGTTGATATCCCACATCAACAAACAACAAAGAAATGGAGAGGGTACCAACAGCTGGAAAACATTTCAGCAAACTGCGGACAATTGTTCGACAGCTCCAGAAACATCTCAGAGAGTAACACTTTGTAATTTGTGTTGAGTCCTCTCTCTGCTGTTTCAGATTTAGAAATGTTAGCATACCAAAGGTGATTGATCACTTTTCCTCCTCCATTATTTTCTGTTTGAAAAAGAAAAATACAGCTTGTTCATTTTGTATGTGCTAGCAACCAAGAGATACCGCAAACATTAGCATGGTTCACAAGCAGGTAATCAGAGAAAATATCCCGTTTAGCCTCCTCTACCCACAGTGAAAAGTCATAAGGATGCGGGGGGACACAGATATATTTATCTTGATGAATCATAAAGATCAGTGGAAATCTTACATAAATGGCGGTTTTAAAACTTCAATCACAGACAAGGTGAGCAAGAGGATCTTGTCCTATGTTACATAGTGTCTCAATGTGTGAATGTTCTGTGTATACATGTTTTATTCGTGTAAATAACTCACTCTATCTGAGTGCCATGTTGTGTCCACGAGTGCTAAAATATGCAACATTTATTCAAACAAAGAGCTGTTTCCTTCACATCATTTCAGCCTGTTTTCATTTAACATGGTTAAGGTCGACTACTCTGCAAGAATTTGTTCTGTTTTAACAGTTTACCAGATAATCCAACCTCCACACCCACTGTCGTCCCACCACGCTCCTTTTTATTTCAGTTTAAATGGAGAAAACCACCAGGGTTGTACAGCTCAGGGTAGCCAGACGCTGTCATGGTTGGTTTTTCCTCCATTTTCTAGATGATTGAACCTCCACAGGTCTGTAGTTGACATACGTCATTGATGAGTCTCCATGCTGATTGGCCATTACAGGTGATCAGCATATATATTCACTATATATTATCTTGTTTTTTTACCCAGCTGCCTGTTTAAGACAAGAACAGGAAGTAGGCAAAAAATGTAATGCAATTATTTAAAATATGTAAGGAAATATGTGAGCGGGTGGATATGCATGTTATAATCCTGACAGGGTGAGCAAGACCTGACACTCCACCTTGCTTTCTTGCCTGTGCCCAGGTACTTTCCTTCAGACATTTTCACAAATAGGCCTAGGAATTCTTCAAGTTCTCCCGATAAGATTAAAAACAAAAACAGGATTGAAATAGGATGTATGGTTAAGTTGCATCTGCTTCTGTCTCTACAGTGCTGAGAATGCAGCCATTTTTGGCTAGCTAACATGAAGCAAAAAGTGAGTCATAACAAACATTTAGGGCTGTTTAGAAAACACTTAGCAACTTTAAGACCACAAATGACCAGCAGAGGGCGGTGATGAATCTTGGCAGGGGAGCAGGACCAGCTAATGTCCTAGCAAGGCCCACCCATAACTCATGAACACGGCTACGAGCGAGATGGCAGAAGCTGACAGTGCCGGAAAAGCGTCACAGTTGCAGCTAAACTTCACGTTGTGGACTTTGTTGAGAGCAACGAAAGTCTTTTTGCAAGAAGACAGTTGAGAGTTTTTCCTACTTGAAGCCCCTCATCAACTATTGGTGGCTCAGATGCCAGAGCAGCTTATATTATTGACTTTTCTGCTATTAAATTTTTTTTTAAAAAGGTATTCTGCAAAGTCTTTTTAGATTATAAGGGTAAAGAAACAAAGGGAACAGAAAGGACACATAACAGCTATTAACCTCATTGAACTTCATGTCGTCATGTGTGTCTGCCTCAGACCAGCACACAGATCTGTTCCACCGAGGACTGTACCTGCCTGAGGGATCTTTGATGTTTCATAGGTAAGTGTGTTTTGGTTGGATGAGGGGGCGTTTTGTCAATCCTGGGGCTCCACCAGCCAGATCGCTTTGCATGCTTCAGCTGGTTCAATATGTTAGCACCCATCGTGGTGGTATTTTGGTTTTACATCTCCCAACAGGAAGAGTTGGAAGCATGGTGTCCATCATAATTTATGTTTTATTTAACCTTTATTTAACCAGGAACAAAACACATTGAGGTCAAAAATCTCTTTTACAAGTGTGTCCTGGCCAGGATAGGGAGCAGAGTTAGCTGCCAAGACATTTACAGACAAATTTACAGTCAATCATAATGTAGAAAGATCAGGTAACATATACCTTATACAGTCGATGGTCCATCCTCTTTTATTAGAGGATTCAGCCCTGCCTCCATCCTCAGCCAGGGTCAGGGAAGAACTCTAAATGTGATGATATTTTTGCTTTATGAATATCCAATAGCAAGCTCATAGCAGCCAAATCTTGAAACCCATTGGCTATTGCTTAACGATGAGTATATCAGGGTAACAGCCAACTTTAGGGGGGTCCAATCTAAACAACAATTAGCAATAAAGGACTTCTGGGCCAGACTTCTGTTTCCGAGCAATGGCTCGGGTTACAGTCAGATAGAAACTTGAGAGCAGAGCTATCGTTGTAAAATAACATTGAGAGAGGATTATTATCCGCACGTGTGGGCAGATCTTTGTTTATAGATATTAATAAGAGCTGAATTGTTGTCAGATGACTGACAGTGGAGGCCAGGATTGAATTAGAGCCATCAGTGTTCTGTAGCTTTTTCTGTCCACATGGACAGTTTTCTGCGTCCAGTAATGATGGAAGATACTCCTCGTGGTAGAGTAGATTACAGTTAGATTATAACCAGACACAGGCAGAAAAAAAACAAAAAAACTACAGTTACATATATGACTGTCAAACGTTCACAGCTGGACGTTTTCATCGGGGGGAAACTCTTAGGTGGACACTCAGCTTTCGTATCAGGTCAAATCTTAGGATCTTAACCCAAAATGGCTGCCAGCACATGTTGTAAATTCAGCGTTTCTGCGGCCTTGGTTCGGCTGTTCACACACAAATTCTTTGATTCTGACATCTTCCTTCGGGCCTTAAAAAAAGCAACAAGTGAATCTGTTAATAATTTACTGAAAGAAAATAGACACTGGTAACGACAATAAACCACTGTACTCAGAGGGGAAAATCACGGGTGAGTAAAACTGTGGTGTCTGCTCTTTGAAGAAGGACAGAGTATTAAATATCAAACATGTTTGCCTTTGTAGACATTAAACAGCTCCAAAAATCCCATGTGGTGATCATTTTTACCCATTTCCACAAAACAAAGAGATTGAACAGATGCTCTTGTTAACGTCTTTGGTTTTATCTAACCTGATTTGTTTTCTGGAGCTGAACATCTTGCGTGGTCATGATTCAAACGCAGAGACCACCAGCTCGTCTCTGACTTCCTGTTTTAAAATGGACTCATGGCCAGTTCTTCAAAAACTTAAGGGGCCTGTCTGTTGGAAGCTTTTTGCCTATGACATCCCTCTCTTGGTGTTTAGTCACCTTTTATTTTGAGAGTGATCACCAGTGTGTACTTCACTTAATATTAAAGAAAAAAATATCTCTGTGTCTTTAGTGTAAAACGTAATTTTGTCTTTTAGTCACTTTTTTGTGCAGATCACCATAACAAAATATATACATTGTTTTGTTTTTTTCTGTATATTGTAAGGGGAAAATCTCAAGCTACCCTGCAATATTTAACAGATAAATCAAACTGAGTAGATTCGACTTAATTCAAATTAATTCCAGCGGCAACAATCAGGTAATTAACACCCTAACTCTAACCCTAATTTACATGTCTACACAAACTGATGAGAATATGTTCACTTTATGATAGATTACTGTTGACTCAAAATCACCAGTTTGCATTATGGTCATTGTTTAGACAAACTCATGAGCCAAAAGAATCTGTACATCCCTCAGTGGGTGGATGCAGCCAAAAGATGCAAATTAAGAACATAATTCAATAAAAGAGTCCAAAGATAGGATGTGATTTTGGATGATTGGATTTTTAGAAAAAGAAAAAATAGGCTGATTAAAATGTACACAGTGTGTATGGGATTACAGACACAGCTTGTCATCTGACCACTACTGAGCTTTTAAATTATCACCACCAAAGCAGAGCTACTGTGTTCATTCTTAACTTATCCTTCTTTTAGCAGTTTTATCCCGGACATATGAAACTTTTTACAAAGATATACAGAGGAAACTGCAGAGAGAAAACACACTGCAGTTAATAAAAAGTGACACAAATCAATTGAAGCGTTGTGATTAAATTATTTCTCTTCGTTATAGTTTTGTGTGTGTGCGTGCGTGTGTGTGTGTGTGTGTGTGTGTGTGTGTGTGTAAATTTGTGAATAATTTGAGTTTTCAAAGCTTTAAATCTCACAATAATTGTTAAGAAAATGATCTTCTGAGTGTATTTAATAGATTTTGATGGAGAATGATCCATAAAAGAATTTTTTGCTCAATCATTTAAAATTAAAACAGTTTCTGGAGTTTGCGCTCATTTACAGGCGATTAAGCTGCCAGATCTACTCAGATCTTCCTGAATCAAACCCTCACCCTGTCAGTGTTTTGATGGATAGCTGTTTAAACAAGATCTTCCATAATTGCAGAAAACCATCCCACAAATGAGACACACTTCACACTCATGCTGAGATCCTGTAATCTCATTTGGTTGCAGTTCGCATGTTATAAACAGTCACCATTTCATTGTGCAACAAAAGATTAGGGGGAGTTTTTTCGGAGCATTTTCAGCTCATCTCACTCTGAAAACAAACAGAGAAAATGGCGTGCAAGTACATTTTGGTCAAGCTGAAGGACACAGATATCTCTGTATAAATTTGTGGTCTAGGCTGCCTCAAACAATCAATCATTCTCTCTCCTGGTTTGATAGTCCTCACTTTAAAAAAACTGAGGGAGGAGTACAGAGATCATGAAATAAACAAAGAAATGTGCTAAATGAGTCAAAAACCCAAAGCCTCTACACGTGAAAGTGTTCCCGATGTTTTACCATCTGCGTAGATCATGGGTGTAAAGATTCACCAAATGCTGGCTCCGATTAAAGGCTAAGAGCCATTGTCCTCGGCACTCTGGATCAGTCAAAATGTCTCATGAATCAGTTAACGGCCAAGTTTCAATACTACGATCCAGTTTACTTGTTTTCACTGTGACAGTTGTGTTTATTGTGCTCAGCCTCTTCAATTTCGTGAGAGTTGGATGTTGTTCTTTTAACATTTTGTAGAGAAAGGTTAACTAAGGTGGCTAGTCACGTAACGCCTGTTAGCTGGCCGTGAAAAAAAACAACAACTTGGAACTGGAGGGGAGGTTTACAAGCTCTATTTTAGAAATCAAATCTTCTGACCTTGATGTGGAGTGAAATAGTTGGAAAGGCTCAGCTCTAATTTCACCTAATAGGACCTCATGTTGAAACCTAGACTGGGATGTTAGCATTAGCAGTAGCAGCACAAGCAGCCCTCAATACTGAACGCATTTCAAGTGTTTACTTGGCACAGTCTGAAATCACCGCACAGGCTTAACATCTCATCCAAAAAACATAGCCTCTTAACAAAGCTCTTCACTGCCACCACTCATGCTGGTTAAAACTGGAATGTGAAGAGGGAACCATATGTTGACATCATGCTGGCAACTTCTTTGGACTTGAACCCATCTAAGATGGACTGAGGCAAAAAGGAAAACTGCACTGGGATCTGGTGATCAAATTTTGCTTTTAATTTGGAAATCATGGACACTGTGTCCTCTGCCCCAAAGAGGAGAGGAACTTCCTGGTTTTAATGCTGCAAAGTTTGAAAGCTAACATCCACTATAAAGTGGTACCAAATAAGTGTTGTGGCATGGTTAGCTTACACAGCTGGGAGGTCACCATGAATGCTGATGGTAAATACAGTTTTGGGGCAACATGATGCCATTGAGACAATGCTTTTTACAGGGGGGACACTATGCAGAACAATAAGTCGAAGCACATTCTTCTGATATTAAAATAGCATTACTCTTTAGCAGTAGACAGTCGGGGACAGTCCCCGTATTAATTGGCCTGTTTCCCAGCTAAAGCTGGCCCTGAAAATGTCCCTGACTTAAGCATTTCATGAATGAGAACAAAAATGTTGCGTGTAGACCAGAACAACGGTTATTACGGTAGCCGAGTAGGTAGGAAGCACGAGTAAGCAGGCATACAACTCTACCGTTGGAAACTAAATCTAAAACTATAAGTGATCAAGAGGTTAAGACAGGGATGATATTGTTCAAGTGTTTCACCCTCTCACACCTGTGAATGAATCATCCTTCCACACACACTCATAAGACCAGAGGAGTGATGGAGCCATGCAGCTCTACCTTTAAAAGCTCTCACTGTGCTGCTGTGGAAGGACTGAGGCTGAGGACTAAAATAAAAGTCAACTCTTTCTCCCCCTGACCGCCAGGGAAACCACATGCCTTTTTGCACGCTGTATAAATGTTTTGACACAGGGAGGCCAACAGGCTTTCTACTCTCATGCTTATTAAAACCGTAATCGCCCATCACTAAATGTGTACAGCGATGAGCACCTTGAGGCGAAAAGGATGGGATTGTTTGTTTATTTGACTGGGAGTGCTGAATGTGCAGCGGAAAGCCCTGTCACAGCTCAGGCGCTATTGAAATGGAGGCTGGGATTTGAAAATATACTGACCTCATATTTGACTTGTGCTGACCATAAGCAGGCATACAAATCATGGCCTGAACTGAGTCAACAAACGGATATCTGAGTTTATTTGCGTCTCACTGTGCAGCGCTCTCAGGGCTGATACCTTCACTACTTAGAGGATTTATTGACCTCACATTCATCACTTCTTCTTCTACATCATGACTGACACTTAGGCTGGAGGAAAGCTATGATAGATGTAATCAGGAGGTGATTTAAATGAGTGAAATGTGGCCTGAACTCAGATACAGTTTGCCCTCTAGATGCTCTGAGGGTGACTGTTTGATGTCGCACACGCCTTCTGTTTGCCTTGCAGGGTGGGAAAAACAAAACCAGAGCGGCCCGGCATTGGTTTGGATCAACAACACTGAGACGTTGTTACTGTCCAAATTTCATGGGCGCTTTTTGGTACTTATTTTCATAAGCATACCTGTGAAATCACAAGACTCTGTGTGATCACATGAACGTTTATAAAATGTAGTTAAGAATCCAAAACAAGCAAATCCTTCATAACCACATAATGACCTTTAAACGGAGTGGTTTTACATATTTGATCAAATATATTTTTAAGCAAGCCGGCCCTTTGAAGATTGAAGCATATAACACAGTTTTGATTCAAGTAAGACAAAGTTTTGATTAAACTTCTTTATGTATGAAAAAGTAAAAAAAGTACAGTCTTCAAAACGATATTTTTATAAACTCAACCTCTTGTTTTTTAATCACCATGAGTCTGTCTTCACACTTTACAGTCACAGACATATCAAAAAAAATTCTTTTTTAGGTATAACTGTCCTTTCCATTTAGGTAGAAATCTGCATTTGGCTGGTTACCCCCAAATCCTGCCGTATGCGGAACAGAACCCCGGGTAGCGGCCGCAATTTTCACCGTCTGCCAAGTATTGCTAAATGCATTTGTGAGGCGAAATTTGGACAGCCAGAATCGCAAGGACTCACAAGAAACTGCGAATTCACATGTAATCGCACAATAACTAGTTGTCTCTTTAAAGACAGCCACATAACCATATAAGCAGTAGATTGTGTCCCTCCAGAGGAGGAAATCCACTCTGTCCAGACCAGTAGACACTTTTGTGGATTTTGGGAATTAACCATGGGTAAGTGCAATGCAAAAATACAAACAACTTGTTTGTCCCTGCCCACGACTGCATGGTGTGAAATACAGTTTGACTGAAACATGTAGTGTTTTATTTTAAAAAGAAGCCAGATGTTTTATTTTGTATCTGTGGCCTTATCTGTGCTGAATTTTTGCAGCATGCTGCAGCATCCAGAAAGAAAATAGAACTCTGGTGATCAGTTAAGAAACCTGCTGTACGGCAGGGGGCCGAAAACAAGCTGGCGGAATTTGACACATTAACTTAAATTAATACGATCAGCGCTGACGGCCTTTCCACCGCCGTTCCACATGTGGTGGAATTTGGGTGTTAAACTGAGTGTGATGAACCAAATATGCCAGGGATAATTATAGCAGAAGTGTGATACCAAAAGTTGCAAGAAATGAGATTTAGAGGAGACCAGGAATGGTTGCAACACTTTTTGGTTCAGTGCCCTGTAACTTCCTAGATTTTTGAGCCTAAATTGTCAAATTGTTATACAAAGTTTCTGCATTTGTTTATTATGAGAAAAAAAAGCTAATCGAGTTCTTTGCAAAAACATTATAAACCTCACGAGCTGATGTCAAAAACAAACTGGTTAAAACAACCATTCATAATCTCCCTATTTGTAAGGAATAACAAAATCTCTGAATGCAAATCATACAGTCCATGTGTGTTATCTTTGAGAGCGCTTATCCAGCACTAGCATGCAGCACCTTTCTGTTGATCAATGTATCTTTGCAGCTGTGTGTTTTTGCAGTAAATGGTTCGTTCTTTTTTCTTTTTTCTGTCAGCTAGCATGCACAGTTGCAGTAAGATTCCTGATATGATTGGCTCCAGTGTTACAGTTTTTTTTTTCTCCTGTGATTTTCTTTTTTTTTTTTTTTTTATGATTTCTTTGACAACCATTCTTTTATGATTGGGCCAATTGACGAGAACAGTCAAGCATTCTTTCCTGCTCGCCAAGGCAACTATTCCCCAGATCATGTATTCATGTGTTCTTCAGATCATGAAAATCACAGTTTTGCAGGGAAAAGTCTGATAAAACACAAAGCTCCAGGGCCTTGAAGGCAGACAAGATAAATATGGTGAACTCAGGTACCAGTCTTGTATCTCTAAAGGCTATCAAACTCCCTCTGTGGCCAAAATCTCAATAAAGACACTAATATATAAAAGACAAATTTTAACATGATACAAATGAGTCTTGTGGTTTTGCATGTGAATCTTATTTGTTCTTTTAACATGTGGCAGGAGTATACCCTTGCAGACAATGTATAGTGAGCTGATGGTTATGCACATTGGGCTTCAGACAGGGTGAGCCTCACCTGCTTAAAAAGCTTAATTATTGGTCTCTCAGATTTCACAGTCGGGGTATTCTTAGAAAACTAATTGTGGGATGATTAAACACAATACAAAGGAGGCAAAAGTCCAAACCTTTAACATTATTGGTGTTACTGTTTATTAGTAACTTAGAGATATATCCTCTAGCTCTGCTGTCCTTGCTTGGATTGCAGGACAGGATTTTTCCCCACTTTCCCCAGTCAGAGGTCCAGAAGCTCCTTGTCTGCCCTAACATCTGAGCTTGCCTACTGTCATTATTTTTTGTTAACATTAGGTTATGTTTTTGCCACAGTGTCACCAGGCAGAACTTAATTGTGTCAGACTATATAAGGAATGCAACCAGGTATTTGTACTAAACTGCCTTCCATCTCTGCCATTCAGTGTTATAGGAGTTTTATCTCGACAGAACAACTTTGAATCTAGGTAGCAGAGGAAAAAAGTTCAAATAGTCTTGAAAAAAACCCTGCCTGTTTTTCTGGTTAGAATCGGTCTGTCAGTCACTGGTTATATATAGCACTGCTGACCGGTGTGCTGGATAATTAATAGTAGTCTGATTCATCCCCGTCCAAATGTACATGGTTTACTCTGAAGGGGGAAACAGCCCAGCTCAGCCCAGAAAATCCCTGGTGATTTAAAGCTCGCTGGATCTGAGAGCAGCCTGCAGGTCTGTGTGGACACAGAGGCAGCAGAAGCACAGCCTCACACTGAGCTGAGCCCCTGACCCTTCCTTATTTCTGTCAGATACGTGACATGTGTCTGTCATTACATGAAAGAATGAAAAAAAATGCTGACTGCTGTTTTCTTTATCACACTTGCACTGTCCAGAAGCCAGAATAGGAGAGTATTGTAATCTAAATCATAAGGAAAGGAGAAAAAGTTACATGTTGTCTATCCATGTCACTCACACAAATGATGAATGATGCTCTGGATGGTTAACAGGCTCCCAGGCCTGCACTGTATGACCTCTGTGGCACTCAGGTTATCACATACTTCATCACACTTTGCTGTTAGATGCAAATGCTAAAAGGTGACTTAAAGCTCCTGTGAGAGTATTCGAGCTGGCCTCTGTTGTGCTCCTCTAAAGTGTACTGAGATGCAGTGCAGGTGTCATTGTTATTTTCTATGCAATGCCCCCCCCCCATCTCTATGTCCAGAGCTAACATTCACTACATACATGTTTTTTTAAATAATCAATGTGTTGCATCATTCTGACTGAAATTTGACTTTTAAAATATATGTTAACATGTTAAGCCCTACGGAGAATTGGGACACCCTTCGCTTTAAGTGAATGCGCAAAAACCGAGGGCTAAGGGGTAAGACAAGGGCTAAGGGTTACAACTGGGACTGCCTCTAAATGTGTTGCTAGGAAGCCAGGTAGTAAACAAGAGTAAGACCATAAAAGGATGTGAAAAAGACAAAACTGTTGAATTGTACAAAGAAAAAAAAAAAAGGTAAATCTTGTTAGCTAGGGTGACCTTTTACCCGGACATGTCCTCTTTTTGGGGGGCTGTCTGGCCTTGTCCGGCTTTGTCTGGGGGAGTTTATAAAATCCTTCAAATGTCCGGGGTTTTTTATGGAAGTTTTGAGTTTGTGTTGCATGGACTAACTGAGTTAGAAGTGTGTAAAAAACACTCAATTCGACCCAAAAACTCAAAATGAACTACGCCCAACTCCATGACTCTGCCCCCGCATAGTTGTGCCCTCTTTTTGAGGATTCAGAATATGGTCACCCTATTGTTGGCCACTTGCTAACACGTTTTGTCATTTGCTTAGACACAGTGAGTTGCCGATGGAGCTGAGAGTGTCTGCACCTCGTTTGGACAAGCAAAATCCTGGTCTTATTCCTAAAGCTCTTAGCACAGTGTTTTCCTGAGATTTAGAGGGTAGATTAAGGATAAAGTTACAGAGGCTCAGGGCAACTTATGGTTATCCAGCATGTCAGAAGACAGGTGATATAGTGGGAAGATGATTAAGACTGCTCAGGGTGAAGGTCAGGGTTGTAGCTAGCTGATGCCAGACAATAATCTCCATGTTTTGTTGTCATCAACAGAATTAGTCAGCTGCAAAGTCATCCTGAATTTTGAAGTTAAAACCAGCTCATATCAAGTTCATACAGATCCAGAGGAGGCCGAGGAGCAGGTATGTGTTCGGTAAAATGTAAAAATAACTGGGCTTTCTGATGCCAAAGTAAATGTCTGAATAGAGCAGTGAAAGTAGTGCATTGGTCGGAGTTTATAAAATGAGCAAATAAATAAGTAATTTTGTTTCTCTTGTTAGTTTCTCAACAAAGTGGCCAAGTTGACTGGCATTCCTTTTGCGTGATACACATTATTGACCTCATACAGTTCACCACACTTTAAAAACCCTGTCTCCAACACTTTAGACAGCAGTGGGCTGCACTCTGCAAGGTACAACTACAGGTTTGTGCCAATGAAGTCTGGTGGTCCTGAGTGTCTCTGCTGTTCAAATCAACAGTTACACAATGATAATATGTTTTATTTTGAAAAGTACCTCTTTTGGACAGTTTTGCTGATTTGGGTTTGAGAATTTGGAATAAAAAAATGTAAGACTGGGGCCAAGGTGCAAAACCACCAGATTTTCCCTTAAGGAGGAGAATTTATGGTTGAGTCACAGAGACCTTCCTGTCAAAATCCCACTTGTCACACTCCGCACTATTACCCCCATCAAAATTGATTTTCTTTCTGATAAAATGTTGAAGTAATTTATCACACATTCAGAATTCCCACCATAAAATCTACTATTTTGAAATTAAAACCTGTACAACTCCCTTAAACTGAATGCGGCGCTAATAACTCATATGGTACCAATAGCTTAAAGTTTCGGCTCCAACTCCAATCTGTGCTGGCTGCATTTCTATGTCAAGAAACAGGCCAGAAACGTTACTAAAATATTCAAAAGGTTTCCAAAACATTTAGTGTTCAGATCCCCAGGCTTTACAGTGCAAATCTGAGGCTGACCAAGCCTGATAAACACATTTAATAGACAATGACAAAATTGTTTCGAGATGTGGGTAGTGAAGCCTGAGGTCAGGAACAAGCGATCACACAGACAAAAACACTTCAAATAGTTCTTCGTCTTCCAAATCCTCTGAGGTTCAAAAATGTTAAAAGACATTAAATAATTATCATTAACTTTGACTTTTGTATGGGTATTAAAAATTAACACAGGATATTTGATTAACTCTGACAGTGGTAAAATCACAACTCAACAACCCAATAATTACATCATATCAAATATTTTGAGAGCATAGCATTTGTTTCACTTGATGAGACTATCACACTTAATGTGAACGACAACCACAGTGTATTGGCTGTCTTTTTTCTGGATCCCATTTAGATCCCAAATGTATGATCTGCTGGAAGTAGTTTAAAATACTTCCATATAAACTTTAGTACTTCCAAATCAAGCACAGTTTTGCCGTGCTGGAAATAAATCAACCTAACCTGACAGAAAATAAAGTATCAGGGCTGATGATATGACTAAATCACCATTTTTAATCTAATCAGAACTGGACGATGATTGTAAGCTAGCTGTGTTCATTTGTAAAGTTTATGAAGTAACGTGTTCTGTTTTGTCGCTCCTCAATTTGACTGATTGTGTTGCTTTATTTCCAGATTTTCCAAAAATATCCCATTAGGTCCTTATTGTGATATTCAAAATCATTTCGTGCAACAAAAATGGCAGACAGACAAATAAAGAAGCAGCTTGACACAAACAGCAGAAGAATTGGAGATGAATTTGTTTTTTCCTTCATATTCTTACACCATGTTATTGCTTTTGGGAATGCCAGATGGTAGAGAAATCATCACACATCATTGTCTCCTCACACACCTGCCAACCTTAGCCTTGCACAGTCTGACATGACTGTACGTTCTACAGATCATCATGTGCACAGAAATCAAAATTAATTTAGTATTCATATTACGAATCCAGTTTAAAAATTAATTTTTACAAATAAATCTGCTTTAATTCTAGTGCCAAGGCAAAATCTTGTGGGAAGGTTGATTTCTGTCTTTCATTAAAAAATGATGGTATTAGATATAAACAGACAATCTTCATCCACACTGCAAACCCTTGACTCAGAGTTACATGCATCTTTTGGCTTTTTTTTTTATTTTTTTAACAGCATTACTTGGGAAGCGTCCACCTTACCTCTGTACCCTCCTATTAATCAGCTCTATAATCTGCTGTTCTTCACTGTATTCAGGTCTCATTTGCAAAATAGATTTGTTATCTCAGTAGAACTTCCTGGGTTAAAAAAAATAAGGTTTGATAAAATAAATGAGATCCTATCCAAGAGTATCAAGGTGTCCTTAGTTTTTAATAACTAGTGTGCCTTGGGTGTGAATGTTTATGCATCTCTGTTAATTTAGAAAAGTCTCAGATCATTTCTGCTGTGTAAATAGTTTGAGTGGATAAAACATCAATCTATTCATAGACATGGTTCACAGGGTGACTTGTGAGTGTTTCATGGGGGTACAATGGTAGGGAAGATGTTTAACAAGCCCAGTCTAAAAATCATGCCTGCCCGTATGGGTGCACCTGACCCCCAAAGTTAATGGGAGCAGACACAGTGGTTAGTTTGATTCATGCTACACCAAAAATACATCTTTGCATACCAGGGTCTTTAATCCAGCCTCTTTATGCTCTGTGCCTCTCTTAGCACAGATTCTGTTGCTTACAAATCTGTTTTTACAGACTGAAAATGACTAAAAATAATTCTGATGCCTTTGTTTGCTCACAAAAGATTACAAGACTTAAGAGTGTCCATTTCTATAGTAAGTTTAAGGCCTGAATGGGATGACCAAGTGCTAATAAGCCAAATGTTTTACAACACAAATGTTTGTATGGGACAATGTAAGATAAAGTGTACATTTTAATAAAACATCCATTTCAGCCCTAAAACAAACATTTCTGTTAAAACTATTAACAACAGTGTTATTGCTCGGGTTGATCTGGTCGTACAGGCTGTACATCAGGTGTTCATTTGGCATAGAAAGTTTTTCTTCTCAGACTTCCTGGAAAAACTACAGGAAGGAGTAGTACTAAAGGGACACTTTCATAGTATTCAACAGCTTTTTATGATATGTGCTCATTCTCATCAGCTCATTCTTATCAGCTCCTCACAGGGACACTTGAAAATTGAGAAATATGTCCTTGTTGAGTTCATAGCTTGTTCCTGCCGCCCCGTAGGCCATTAAACCAGTAAACATTTACAGTTTGAGTCTATAGTCTTTGAGTCTCAAGTCTATATTGTTATATTTTGATGGCTTTATTTGCAGCCAGTGGCAAGACCTTGGGCGTCCACTTCCACACAGATGGCTGGATATTCTCTTCGGAACAATTCCTGAACATAACCATATCATTTTTCTCACTTAGTGTATATATATTGTTATCTCAGCGTGCGGCAGAAACACTCCACAGGCCTGTGATGTGATCGTTTTTCTCACAGTGAGGACTAAAGACCAGGGAGCACAATGGAGGTGTAATAAGGTAGACATGGATTGGCTGTGAAAATCTGGAGCAGGAAGAGGACTGTAAAACTCTGTGCCAAAGGATGACCTGTTGAAAAGGCATTCACATTTTACAGGCTCTGACTCGCCACTTAGAGAGCCATTGTTTTGTCTGAGAGAGAATTTATACTCTCCTTTATAGGTTGCAAAAACCGGTACTTCTACCCACAGAGCAGATGTGATTAATGTTTCTACGCTTTATGGACTTTGGCCAGTCTCTAGTGAGGGAGGGACTTCAAAGTATGTTCAGTTTTAAAGCCGAGCATCCCAAACAAACCAGTGCCTCACCACTTCCCCATGTTCAAATAGGTTAGCAGATAGCCATCAAGGCATCTTTATCTCCTCCTGCTGTTCCCTTTCATGCCGGTGAGTAAATGAAGTTGCATATTGACAGGAGATTTTGCAGCATACCAAACTTGCTACACTACAGACTCTATATAGAAAGTAATTCGTCACGCAGCGAGGTGCTCACTTAGTTTGGAGCCATTTCTCTGCATACTCCACATTCACCGATGTGTAATGTTGGTCAGACTGCCTGAGCTGCAGCTCTGTGGTATGCCCTCTGTCAGCTGTCACTGGAATGACCTCTAATTATCACTGAGCTGCAGGCTTTAATGTCCCTGTGAGTGGGTGTGTGTTTATGTGTGAGCTCCAGCTCCCTCCATAGCCCAGTAAATACCCTCCAGCATGTAGTGCTGAAACCAATGGCTGCTGTGTGTGTGTTTGTATGTAAGCATGTGGGCATGCATATGTTTATATGTCATTTGCATGTTTTTTTTTTGTATGTATAAGCAAGGGGAGAGCGGATTTCAGGGTACTAGGTCCTCCACAAAACCCTCACGAAACTCAAATTGATCCTTTGTTATGAAAAAAAAAAAAGGTATACAATGATTGGGGAGGCTAACCGATCTCCAATGAGCAAATGCATCCTAGTCAGTCCGGCAGCTCAGTAAAAAGCACACTTCTATAATCATTTACAGCCAAGATGAACTGAATACAGATGATGTAGATTTATATATACATATATATATTTCTCTACATATATATGTATTTATACTACAGGGCAAAAGTAACTTATCAGAAGACATTTTGACTATAATTATTAGGTATTTGAGTTATTGTTGCTTAGACTTTGCTCTCTTTAAAGTAACCTCCTCTGGCTTTAACAACAGCTTGGCACATATCAGGCATTCGTTCCACAAGTTTTTCAAGGGGGGACGTGTTTTTCTGACTGATCGATCCAATTCATCCCGCACAAGCTCAATTGAGAGAGGTCTGGAGACTGAGGGGGCCAAACCATCTTTTGAAGAACACCTTCCTCGTCTTTTTTGTCTAGGTAACCCTGACAGAGCTTGGCAGAATGCTTAGGGTCATTGTCTTGCTGCAAAACAAACTTATGAGCCACAAGTCTGAGTCCAGATGGAGCAGCATGGTGCTGGAGGATGGAGTGGTACTGTTCCTTCTTCATGATACCCTTTACTTCAAACAAAACTTCTACTCTATCACCTGCAAAACATCCCCATACCATGGAACTACCACCTCCATGCTGAATTGTGGGTGTAAAACATGGTGCTTTCAGATGTTCACCGTTCACATAGACTCTGCGTTTGGAACCAAACAGTGCAAACTTGTTTCTAGTCATCATAAGTCCAATTTTTGTGAGCTTTTGCCCACTCATATCTCTTTTTCTTGTTCTGTGGACGAAGTAGTGTTTTTTTGCAGATACACAACCCTTCAGACCAGCCTTTCTCAAACGTCATTTCACAGTTGTCAGAGATATGGGTTTTGATCTTGTCATGTTGATTTCCTCTCTTATTTGAGGTGCTGTCTCTCTTACTGATGACAATGCTATGTTTATCCTCTGCTTTTGTAGTAACTCTTTCATCCAGGTGTTTTTCTATCATCATAACTTCCAGGTTCCTCTAGTCTCTTCAGAGTGTAGTTGACTCCTTTGTTAAACACCTTTAGGCGTTTTGCAATTTCTCTTTCTGTGTATCCTTCTTTCCTCAATGTACAAATCTGTACTTTTGTTTCTTTACTCAGTTGCTTCTTTCTAGCCATTTTTGGGGTAGTTTGAACGCAGTTGAGATTTATTAGGATTTTTGTATGCAGACTCTCAAAAGTCAAAAGTTGAAGTGAATAATCCAACTGTGATTAGTTTTTTTGCTTTTGCACTTAAGTTGTGACTCTTGCAAATGTTTTCAACCCTAAAACTAAGCCCTTATTATCTTTTGCTGACATATATTTAGCAACGGTCTGTTAACATCAATGTATAGCTAAAGGTAAATGGAGTAAAATGGTGCATTTCCATGAAAGCAACATCTGATC